TATATATATATATATATTGTTGTATTAGTGGTAATTTCTAAGTACCCAAATTGAATGTTAGATATCTATATTGTCGTATTAGGGGTAATACCTAAGTACACAAAATGAATGTTATGTATCTACATCGTCGTATTAGGGGTAATACCAAAGTACACTAATTGAATGTTAGGTATCTATATCGTCGTATTAAGGATAATATCTAAGTACACAAACTGAATGTTAGGTATCTATATTGTCGTATTAAAGGTAATATATAAGGTAACAAATTGAAAGTCAGGTATCTATATCGTCGTATTAGGGGGTAATATCTATCGTATTAAGGGTAATATCTAAGTACACAAATTGAATGAATGGCATCTATATTGTCGTATTAAGGGTATTATCAAAGTACACAAATTAAATGTTAGGTATCTATGTTGTTGTATTAGGGGTAATACCTAAGTACACAAATTCAATGTTAGGTATCTATATTGTCGTATTAGAGGTATTATCTAAGTACACAAATTGAATGTAAGGTATATATATTTTTGTATTAAGTGTAATATCTAAGTACAGAAATTGAAAGTTAGGCATCTATATTGTCGTATTAAGGGTAATATCCAAGTACACAAATTAAATGTAAGATATCTATATTGTCGTATTATTGGTAATACCTACAAATTAAATGTAAGATATCTATATTGTCGTATTATTGGTAATACCTAAGTACACAAATTAAATGTAAGATATCTATATTGTCGTATTATTGGTAATACCTAAGTACACAAATGGAATGTTAGGTATCTATATTGTCGTATCAGGGGTAATATCTAAGTACACAAATTTAATGTTAGGTATCGATATTGTCGTATTAGGGGTAATACCTAAGTACACAAATTTAATGTTAGGTATCTATATTGTCGGATAAAGAATAATATCTATATGCACAAATTGAATGATAGGCATCTATATTGTCGTATTTAGGGTAATATCTAAGTACACAAATTTAATGAAAGGCATCTATGTTGTCGTATTAGGGGTAATATCTATGTACACAAATTGAATGATAGGCATCTATATTGTCGTATTTAGGGTAATATCTAAGTACACAAATTAAATTTTAGGTATCTATATAGTCGTATTAAGCGTAATACCTAAATGCACAAATTGAATGTTAGGTATATATATATATATATATATATATATATATATATATATATATATATATATATATATATATATATATATATATATATTGTCGCATTAGAAGTATTATTTAAGTACACAAATTGAATGTAAGGTATCTATATTGCTGCATTAAGTGTAATATCTAAGTACAGAAATTTTAAGTTGGGTATCTATATTGTCGTATTAGGGGTAATATCTTAGTACACAAATTGAATATTAGGCATCTATATTGTCGTATTAAGGGTAATATCTTAGTACACAATTTGAATGGTAGGTATCTATTTCGTCGTATTAAGGGTAATATCTAAGTAAACAAATTGAATGTAAGATATCTACATTGTCGTATAATTGGTAATACCTAGGTACACAAATTGAATGTTAGGTATTAATTTCGTCATGTTAAGGGTAATACCTAAGTAAACAAATTGAATGATAGGCATCTATATTGTCGTATGATTGGTAATATCTAAGTACACAAATTGAATGTAAGATATCTATATTGTCTTGTTATTAGTAATACCTAAGTACACAAATTGAATGTTAGGTATCTGTATTGTCGTATTATGGGGATTATCTAATTACACAAATTGAATGTAAGGTATCTATATTGTCGTATTAGGGGTAATACCTAAGTACATAAATTGAATGTTAGGTATCGATATTGTCGTATTAGGGGTAATACCTAAGTACACAAATTGAATGTTAAGTATCTATATTGTCGTATTAAGGGTAATATCTAATTACACAAAAAATGTTAGGTATCGATATCGTCGTATTATGGGTAATATCTAAGTAAACAAATAGAATGATAGGCATCTATATTGTTTTTATAGGGTAATACCTAAGTACACAAATTGTATGTTAGGTATCTATATTGTCGTATTAAGGGTAATATCTAAGTACACAAAAATGTTAGGTATCTATTTCGTCGTATTAAGGGTAATATCTAAATACACAAATTGAATGATAGGCATCTATATTGTTTTTTTATAGGGTAATACCTAAGTACACAAATTGAATGTAAGATATCTATATTGTCGTATTAGGGGTAATACCTAAGTACACAAATTGAATGTAAGATATCTATATTGTCGTGTTACTGGTAATACATAAGTACACAAATTGAATGTTAGGTATCTGTATTGTCGTATTATGGGTATTGTCTAATTACACAAATTGAATGTTAGGCATCTATATTGTCGTATTAGTGGTAATACCTAAGTACACAAATTGAATGTTAAGTATCGATATTGTCGTATTAAGGATAATATCTAAGTACACAAAAATGTTAGGTATCTATATCGTCGTATAAGGGGTAATATCAAAGTAAACAAATATAATGATAGGCATCTATTTTGTTTTTTATGGGGTAATACCTAAGTACAAAAATTGAATGTTAGGTATCTATATTGTCGTATTAAGGGTAATATCTAAGTACACAAAAATGTTAGGTATCTATATCGTCGTATTAGGGGTAATATCTAAGTAAACAAATATAATGATAGGCATCTATTTTGTTTTTCATGGGGTAATACCTAAGTACAAAAATTGAATGTTAGGTATCTATATTGTCGTATTAAGGGTAATATCTAAGTACACAAAAATGTTAGGTATCTATTTCGTCGTATTAAGAGTAATATCTAAATACACAAATTGAATGATAGGCATCTATATTGTTTTTTTTATAGGGTAATACCTAAGTACACAAATTGAATGTAAGATATCTATATTGTCGTATTAGGGGTAATACCTAAGTACACAAATTGAATGTTATGTATCTATATTGTCGTATTATTGGTAATATCTAAGCACATAAATCGAATGATAGGCATCTATATTGTCGTATTAGGGGTAATATCTAATTACACAAATTAAATGTAAGATATCTCTATTGTCGTATTAAGGGTAATACCTAAGTAAACAAATTGAATGTTATGTATCTATATCGTGGTATTAAGTGTATTATCTAAGTAAACAAATTGAATGTTAGGTATCTCTATTGTCTTTTATGGGGTAATACCTAAGTACACAAACTGAATATTAGTTATTAGTTATTAGTTATTCAGAAAAAGGAAGTAAAATTAGCTCCTCTAACAAAAGACAAAGGAAAAAAAACAATTTGTTCTAGCACAAAAATACCTTTTTTAAGGAAATAGAAGTTGTATAACTGAGATACCTTCAACTGACTTTACGACTCTACAACTGTGTATGACTCGACTACGACTGTCTGTCCGTGACTATGTACGTCTTACAAAAATCTCAAACATATAAATGGAGCTAATACATTGTTTGAATTGCACGCGCACGAGGACGCATGCAATTTCGTAATACTATTAGACGTCAGTAAAGTCTGAAGGTCAATTCACGTCCAAAATGGCGGATAACCACGTCAGACGAAGGCTAACAGAAAATTCCAGAATTTACACAATAAAGAACAGTTTATATTGCTTCGATCCAATTTAGAATATTTTCGGGAAAATGTCTTTATCCAAATAAGTAATGTTGTTCTCCAGGAAAACAGTTATTCAGAAAAACGAAGTAAAATTAGCTCCTCTAACAAGACGTATGTTCTACTTAGACATATGAACAGACTTCTTCTAGCACAAAAATACCCTTTTTTAAGGTAATATAAGTTGAAAAACTAAAATGTTACAATAACTCCAACTGACTTTACGACTCTACAACTGTGTATGACTCTTGACTACGACTGTCTGTCCGTGGCTATGTACTTTTTACAAAAATCTCAAACATATAAATGAAGCTAATACGTTGTTTGAATAGCACGCGCACGAGGACGCATGCAATTTCGTAATACTATTGGACATCAGAAAAGCCTGACTAAGTATCAGCCAATCGTTTTCATAGCTATTCCTGAATGTTTACTCGTAATGAAATTGTTATTATACACAGCACGTGCTCACATGTGTCACATTTACAACTCAAATAAATATGATGTTTTTCAACAACATATTAGACTAATAATATAATTATATTAATAATTACATTTAATGAAATAAAATGAAGTAAAAATATTTTACAAAATTCATTCCTTATCACACATACTGTAACAATATATATATATATATATATATATATATATATATATATATATATATATATATATATATATATATATATATATATATATATATATATTCTAGTTTTGTCTTACATTTTCTGTTTGTTTTCCGAAAACAATATATTATTCATCCGCTTAAAAAATATCTTTCTTCAAAATCACTGGCTTTTGTTTATTTCAGCTTATGTATGATTATCTTTACCATGTCTCTCGATTGAATAAAACTGCTCTATGCAACTTTTAAGTTTTAATCATTTTCTTCTGAGGTTGCCTAATAACATTTGTATTTAATTTCCTTTAGCGTGTCCAATCCATATTATGTTGATTCCTTCTCTAATTTCAGACACAATTATCATTACATATTACATATATATCATAATCCGTTAGCAAGTTCACCTTTACCTTTTTCACTTTTATACTGGCATTATGTATTAATGCATCAAAATAGGGCTCTGTATCTCACTTGTAGTTTTCATGCTAATATTTATATACTCCTTTAAAATAATACATTATATTAAATTATCTTTGTTTTCGTAATTGATGCTAAGGTCACTAAGAAAATTCCAATTTAATTGTTTTTGACATCTTGAACATATTGTTTTATCTTTTCTAGTTAATTCCTGTTCCAGTAATATCTGAACAAAATGTCAAAGATGGTGATAATTTAGTTTCCTTAAACCGTTCAAAGGTATCTACTTAAATGGATAAACATATTTTCTCCAAGTTCGTTTGCTCCATTATTCATTCTTGAACCGCTCAGGTGGCCTAGTGGTTAGAGCGTCCGCCTTGTATGCGGGAAGTCGTGTTTTCGATTCCCGGTTGAGTCATACCAAACGACTTACAAAAATGGTACTAACATATACCTCGTTTGATGCTCAGCATTAACAGGATATTGTTAGGACTGGTCGGCCTGGTGCCAGGATAATGTGACTGGGTGGTACATCATGATACATGTCTGTGGCATGATGCCCCACTGCTAGACATCACTATAAACTGCCACAATACAGACATGTCTGAAAAATTGTTAAAGCTACGTTACAAATCATAATCATATTACACATGACATTCATTATTGAATGTTGATTATATATGTAAATATTTCATAGCATAAAAAAAAGATTGGCAAATTTTTCTGGAAAGTGACTCATAAACCGAGAAACATCTAAAATAATTTTATTGTTCTTTTGAAACAACTTGTTTTTCATTCGTTATGAAATCCATCGAATATAAACTAAATATCAATAATGAAGAATCTTAGATAGTATGGCTACTTCATGATCGTGATCTCGATTGCTTTCTACTAACACCGTAATATATGAACAGTTTAAACATTTAATAATTGATTCAGATTAGTTATGCACTAATTGCAGTTAGACAAATAATTAATAAATAGTGGATTTTGTTAGGATATTTATAACTTACGTACTATTTATAATATGCAAGACATCTGTCTTTCAGGCTAAGTGGTCATGAGATTTTACTTTCTAATTTGTGGGTGCGTTAACTTCGTTTGTAGTGTCTTCTGTGGTAGCTTTGTTTTCTTCAGTAATCTTCTTTCACTAATGTGAAATATATTGGTGTAATTATAATGCTTTTGTTTTTACAAAGGGAATATATTTGGTCTTATATTTGAAGTGATAACAACTTTGAGATTTTATTTATCATTGGACAGAATGCTACAGTTATATTTATTCAATAAATCTGCAAAATAGCGAACGTCCGTCAGTACATTTCAAGTACATTGGAATACTTCAGACAATGCGAATTTTGGCTTATGCGACTTTATGACGTTATTTGAAATGTTACATATATTATTTATTCTTTTTGCCTAAAGTGTGTGCAGTTTAATATTTTTGATATTATAGCATGCGGAAATATCACTTCATGCGATAATGACTCGTTCAAATAAGCCCATGAAATTATTGTGCAGTATTCTCTTTAATAATTGGATGCGATCGTGTGAAAACTTGTTTTTCAAATACGCTTTCTGGGATGTTTTGTTTTCATTGCACATTTTTAGCCTCCAATTTTTAAAATTTGACTCAAGAAAGGGAATTGGGGGAAAATGATAAATCTAAAACCACATGGGTTTGTTATGTCATGTATAATATATCATAATATGAAAAATGGCAAAAGCCCCAAAACAAGAACAATAATAAGTACAACTACGGGTATTGCTCAGATGGTGTGTAGGGTGCGGGGATGGAGGGGCCGTATGGAATGGAGTTCACACTATATATACAAGCTTAGTATAAATGTGAATTTACTGAAGTAAATAAACTCACCTTGGTTCACAGAACAATGGAGACCTAAACCGGTCTCTCCAACTGACAGAACTTTACCCAACCAAGCATATTAACGCGATATATATGTCTGACTAAATAAAATATTTTTTACGTCTTCTGTACAATCTAATGTTGTAAATCAAATACTGTAAATATCCAGTCACAAACACATTACAGTAAATATGTATATTTATGTATCCATTAATCTTCTTCTCACAAAAAATATCATAATAATGTAATGTTAAGTTGTGGTGTGGAATTTAAACGTAATCACTGGCACTGTGTTGAGTTGGACAACTCAAACCAGTACTGTGCACTTTATCAAACAATGTGACATTACCCGCATTGGGCATTTTGTGTTGACAAATGTTTTGTCTTTTTTAAATGCTCTCTTTAGAGGGTGGACATTTATTCTTTGATTTATAGTTAGCAAAATGTACAATATACTTTTACTATTTTAACTTTTTGGGACTACTTTTTTACACAAAACAAATGAAAAGTAACAGCGTCAGTCAAAATGAACGAGATTATTCATCTTCTTTCTCTTTAAATAATTTCTACCGAAATAAAGTTGTGTTCTAAATATCAAATGAGTAATTATTTAATATTAAATTTATGAAACTCGTTAAAAAATGTCAAGCTTTAACTCGCCAAGTTTCGCAAAATTGGGATATTATTCAACTCGTTTCATAAATCAATATTAAATCGTTACTCATTTGAGATCCTCTATTTATTTCACGTGTCTGAGCTAGAGAAAAATTATATAGATATATGAGTCATATTACAAAGTGTGTTAGATACTAGAAATGTTTTCAAGGAAAATGGATTCCCCAAAACAGTACCTAAAATAATCTTAATTTGAGGCTGAACCAACCTTGGACTGACGGTTGTACAGACGGGTCATCAAAGGTTACACTACATGTTAGTACCATTTTATACATAATAAAAAGTGGTAAATGTTAGCGACTTGAGATCGTCACTAATCAGAGAATTTTCAAGTTTGATCATTGGTATTTGTTCATATACTCCTTAAATTTTTCTGGCATTCGATCTTCTGAAAAAAAATCAATAATGCTTTAAATAAACACTTTAAAAAATTAAATCTTACTGTTGTGAAATTGTAGGCCTCTGACAAGGAATATTTTCGGCGTTCCTTTTAAGAATTACACACTAGTTCTGTTCTGCGTCAATAGTTCTTTTCGTAAAAGACTCAGCATTTACCCGTCCTAAAAATGACCAGCGGGGCTTATGCTTTCCTTTGAAAAGCTGAAACAAATTTCTTAAACAGTCACTGAGCAAATATTAGCTTACTTAAATCGATCCCCTCGAAAAATGACAAATCGGTCCTTTTTAGCACTTAAGAGACAAATGATCGGATGTCCTTTATGTAACGTTTCTAAACAAAGAGATACGTTCTTTGAATCAAACAATATGCCTTGTCTCAAAAGAGCTATAAGCCCTTACAAATGCGGCAACAGATAGAACACAAGTAAAAATGTAGGTCATTCAAATTTGAACTGTGGAATATATTTACTCGCTCTCATTTTCAAATAAGCACAGATGTTATATCTTATAAATTGTATAAAATATACAATTTTAAGTGGTTACAATCATCAGTTTGCTCATGCATGCATACTTGAGTATTTATTTGCTTTGATACACGGCAATAGAGCAAGTATTTATTAAAATTTGTTTTAGCGATAGTTTTATGGTGCATGTGCATATTTGTAATTTGTATTAAATTGATCTTTTATTAGTGTTAAAAATATCTTCTATATTGGCACTTTAAAACTTGCAAAATATCTGGTAGCTACTATTTGATGCAATGGCTGGATTCAGCTTGAAAATCTTTAAGGGAGTGGGGCAAGAAAGCATTTATAATATATTCCAGGGCACACTTTAACCATATAACTGTAAAGAAAAAATAATAATGTAGAAAAAGTCTGGTTTGCTTCCCGCTCATTTAACATCACTTTCTCCAACTCGATTCCTCCCATGGAAACAATGATTACATCTAAGATACAATTTTTATGTAGGTTGTTGGTATCTGATAGTAACGCCAAGTGAGGCATGAAACCCGATCACTGCTGTCACACTTGATGAAATTTACTTTCGACACCTAATTTTATATGTCATTAATATAAATAGGAGCTAAGTGCCTTTTCCAAGGACACGATGTAGCAATCAGCCCGGCTTGATATGCACGAATATTGAACCCATGACGGATGGTTTACAAGTCTGATGTTCTGCCAACTGAACTACCGCTGTTCCTAAATCCTGACATATCTTTATAGGTAATAACTGCAATAGCTAGACCAATCAACTCTTTAGTTTAATCTCCTGAATAATCAATTCAAATCCTCCTCATGGAGAATTTTCATTGTACCACAATAAATACACCAAATTAAATTATATTGATTATATATTTATGAAGACATATTCAGGAGGAAGACTGTGGCTTAAACACGCTGATTTTGAGAGTTTGTGTACTTTCTAACGCAAATCATATATTAAGCCCTCCAAAAGCATGCAATAGTTAAGCAAGATCCAGTCTAGAAGAATGTAATTTCGTTAATGTTTACGCTTTGAAACGACCTTGGATGAATGCCACCTAACCAACGTGGAACTCATACGACTAAACCATGGAGACCATCATGATTTTGACCTTCTAACTGTAAAATTATGGTAAGGTTAAAATTTATAATTAAGAATATAATTTGTAGATTTAGGTACGTGAAAGTTTTACAGGAATCAATACTTGCATCATACATTGCATGTCTGACTAATATTAAAGTATGAATTAATCAGCTAGTCAACTAGTAAGTTCCGTGTCCAAACCCTTAACTTTACGCAAAGGTTGATATTTTGTAAAATACTTAAAAACGATGCCTGAGCGATTATTTAGGAGTGGTAATAGAAGTATTTGCACCTGATAACTTTTTATGAATCCTTATAGTTCATTGCTTTCTATGTGTAATCCTGTTCTACCTATAAAATAGTACAATTCCTTTGAGAGCCCACCACCTTGTAGAGATGATTTAGTGTAGAGCGGATAATTGCAGGTACTTGGATGGGGACAAAAGCATATAATAAGCTTTGAAACGAGAGCAACTAGGTTTATTGTGAAAGATAAAATGACATGAATAGAAAGGCACAACCCTGATTTTTACTTTCTTTATAATGGAAACTCATCCTTGCCTAAACTACCATTACGGCTAATGAAGAGAAAGCAAACAACGTGCTTTTATATTGCTCTTTCTGTTTGGATTTGGATATTTCGTACACCTTTAAATTAACTGGACTTAGTTCGTTTTTGCACATTGGGCTGATTCAATTATACAATGTAATATGTACCAATCTTTAATATTTTATTGATTTCATGTCACATTTTTAGCCAAAGTTGGAGACTAAAGCAACTATCGGATGGTTTTCACTGTGTTAGATATGTTTTCAAAAGACAAGTAATTACTTTGTTAACTCTTAATTCTGTGTAAATCAGTAAGGCAGAAATTGTACTATAATTTATGTTAGTTTGAATACGA